CCACTTACCATAAATCAGCACCCTATGGTCACGCGTTCCAAAACTGGCATAACCTGTCCCAAACATATCCTTAACCTCAACACCACTGTTCCCATCTCTCCTCTCCCGCTCACCTACCGTAGTGCTCTCAAAGACCCCAATTGGCACAATGCTATGTGTGAGGAATTTAATGCATTGATCAAGAATGACACATGGGAATTAGTACCCCCCTCCCCTCACCAAAATATCATAACCGGAAAATGGCTTTTTAGGCACAAACTTGGCCATACAGGTGAGTTAACCAGGTACAAAGCTCGATGGGTTGTTCGGGGCTTCAACCAGAGATTCGGAGTCGACTATGATGCATAGTTATTAATGGCGAGTGGCGAGGGGCGGGCGAGAGGACCTTTTTTATGGCGAGAGGCGTGGCGAGAGGCGGGCGGTCAAATGGCGAACATGCATGCATGCATACATACATACATATACATATACACACGCACACGCACACACATATGTATGTATGTATAAACACATAATATTGATACTATATATGTATGTATGTATGTATGTATATGTATATGTATATGTATATGTATATATGTGTATATATGTGTGTGTGTGTGTGTGTGTATATATATTATGGAGTAATATATAGGAATAAATATTATGCATTGTATACCCTAAAGCCTTAAGGCAGTGATTGAGGCGAGAAAGGCGAGCTAGGCGAACGCCTGAGGCAGGGATTGAGGCGAGAAAGGCGACCGCCTTAGGCGCGCCTTAGGGATCTCGCCTCGCCTGGCTTCCTTGAGGCACTGAGAGCTCGCCTGGTCGCCTGAGGCGCCATAGGCGAGAGAGGCGAGCGCCTTTAATAACTATGCTATGATGAGACATTTAGCCCTGTGATCAAGCCAGCCACCATACGTATCATTTTCAGCCTTGCTCTCTCCTGAGGATGGCCGATTCATCAGTTAGACGTCAAAAATGCCTTTCTTCATGGCCACCTGCAGGAGATTGTCTACGCCTCTCAGCCATCCGGATTCCAGGACCCCCACAGGCCCAATTATGTTTGCAGGCTCAAGAAGGCTCTCTATGGCTTGAAACAGGCACCCCGCTCATGGTACCAACGATTTGCTGGATTCATCTACACACTGGGGTTTCGAGGGTGTAAGTCGGACACCTCTCTCTTTATCTACTCTCATGGGACGGACACCGCCTACCTACTCCTCTATGTTGATGACATTGTCCTCACAGCTTCTTCCGACTCTCTTCTTCGGCGCTTGACTGCGTGCCTCAAGGGGGAATTTGCTATGACTGACATGGGTGACCTTCACTTTTTCTTGGGCATCAATGTTCATCGGACAGCTCATGGTCTCTTTCTACATCAGACACAGTTCACTCACGACATCC